GACATACAATCACTCTTTTTCGAGCCCAAAACATATGAAGATATTCTTATAGTCAAACATTTTTTTCATCCAAAGTGTCAGAGTAGGTCTTCTCACCATAGACATCTTGTGGTCACATGAAAATTCAATATGGAAAAATATGATCGTAGCATAAAAAAGTGACTATTTTGTATGGCGACATGAATGGGTTTTTATTGTGACGTTTTGGTATTATTTTGTGTAACATAAAATTAATAAACATAACTATAACATACATTTTCGAGACATAGACATATATAAATTATGGCAAAAAACAATTTAAAGTGACACAAAGTTAGTTTTGAGCGCCCAGTCACATAAATGGTAGTTAGCATGATCGTTGGTATATGTGTAACGATTTTATATCTTTTTGACACTGAAAAATAATTAAACAATAACTATAATTGATTTAAAATGACTTTTATGTCTATAAATGTGGTAAATATTCACTTTGAGACCAAAAACTGTTTTTCAATGAGACCTACTATAAAATTTAATCACGCATAAATTAATGAGTGTGACTGTTTGAAATAAAATCTAGTTTTTTCTGCCTAAAATTCAGAAAAACCCCAAAATGTTATACCTAAAATTACATCAATATTCAACGTTAAAAATAATATTCATTTCAAAAAACTGTCTAATATATTAAAGAAGTCAAATACATTTCAAATCTTTAACAAAAACATAAAGCTAAAAACTATTCAGCGGATTACCGAGTGGTCTGCTCAAATGTCTTAAAATGGTGATCGTTTTTTCTTTTAGTTATGTTTGTCTAAAAATTAAGCTCTTCCGTTTTATGAGATGGTTCAAACCTAAAGGATCTAAATTTCGTCATGTTTAATACATAATGATTAAGTAATAGAGTTGCTGGAAGAATAAGCCTTTAAAAAGAGTATGTGTGATTATGATGCCTAGTAAAAAGTGTCATATGTTGGATTGTTGTTTTCATGTATTAAAATAAAACATTTCCTACTTCCTGTCTTGGAGAATATATTCCCATCGACAATGCCTAATTCAGTATGACATAGCCTTAGAAACATATAACAAGTCAACAAAGATCGAATAAAAAGTATAATAACATACCCAGGATTGACCCGAGGTTAACAAAACTTAATAAGAATGAAATAGTATAAACTACAAAAACAACTTAAATATAGATTAAGAAAAATGGAAATGTATGAGTTACTTAATATGTCGATTTGTAAATCTTCATGTTGGCTAAATATTACCTAGTTTTTTGTTCGTTAATCTTCATGTTAGCTAAATATTACCTTGTTTTTGTTCTTCTTATCCCATGCCATATATGCAACCATGCAAGCCACACCTCTATTAGTGCCTGAGAAGAAAGAGAAAAATAATTTAAGCAAAAAAGATTAAAATAAAGACCAAAGAAAAAGAATGATCAAGACATTTGCATAAAAATAACATTAGATATGAATCGAGAAAAAGCATTAACTTCAAAAATGTGGTTACCTATAAACTTAACCATACACTTATGTTTTCAAAGAAGTGGTGTAATAGCATCCAACACAAAACACCAAATCATAAACAAACACATAAACTTATATAAATCTAAAAGAAGATTGAAAAGTTGATCCAAACCTTTGCTGGCACGAGAACCTTTGGTATCTAACTTTTTCATATTATCCAACAACATCATATGTGAACACACAACCCTTTCATTCACTATCAACCACAACTAAAACATTAAACGCATATTAAGGAAAAAAGAGTTTATAGTAAAGGGTGTTTGATAAAAGTTGCACCATTGCAGGGCAACACACCTGTATTTTCTATTGATGCTGATAGATTAGTTGAAGATGAAAATCATAAAAACTATTGTTTATTCTTTACCTAATGTAAAAAAATTTATCCATTCATCACTTTATCCCGACTAAGTACTTATAGAGTTTTTAGAGGCCAAGACCTTCAGCAATGCCCTCACATCGGTCTGAAATCCTAAAGAACCCATGATGCTTTTGTCTGTTCTAAAAATAAAGAATTAAACAGTGATGCGTTTCTTTGAGAAAGTTGTTGAATATTTAAGTATATGATAAGTCTAAGCCCTAAAATGGATCAAACTACCACAAATTAACAATTAATTAAGACATGGATTTGGATACCAAAGAAGTAAAATTAGACATTTAAAAATATAGACATGTGTGGAGAAAAAGGGAGATAATTTAGGGGATAATGAGAATACCATCCATTGTTGTTGTAAGGAGACCATTTTCCTTATTCCTTCGACATGATTACCAAGATTGGGTAATCAACATGTTGCCGCCACCATTCCCTATAATTCTTCTTTTCCTCATATCGCCCTATCTCTTGGCACCAATCCTTTACTTTCTCTCAATTTTTCATACTCTCATCGATATCTCTTCCCTCCATTTTGGATTCACAATCGAGGACTTACAAACGCATGTGTTTCCTCCTCCTTCTTTCCCATTAGTCATGGTGGTGGTTGTAAGAACCCAAAAGTTAGATATTTTTGACTTTTGATGAATAATTTAATTAAAGGGAAATTTGGCCATTTAGTGAAGTTTGTGAATTGAAAAGGTGTAACTTCATGAAATAAGTCAATATAAGTTTAAGTCACTTTTATAAGATGAAATAAATTAGTTCAAGAGAAGAAACGCAAGAGATGGCGCAATAAAGCCACAAAGGGTAAAATGAGAATTTTATGCTTTTTTGGGCCATGTTTATGACTTAATAGATTAAGAGCCATATGTAGTCTGTCAAAAATGACTTAATGGATTTGTAGAACTCATCCCTACTTTCGCATGAATATATAGATTATTGAATATGGGTTTAAAACGAAGAAGTTATGAGTGTTAAAAGACTGGAAGATTGGAAGAAAATTGTCCCCAACTTTGCCACGACACAGTTTGTGAAGTAGTAATATCGAATGACGTTTTGACATTAATCCAGGGAAATGTACGTTGCACCACGACATGGTATATGGTTACCGTTGCGTGGTAACGAAAGTAGGATGATATAAAGGAAAGGCATTGCGGCTCGGTCAAAGGGAGACCACAGCCTAATAGGATACACTACGAACCGTTAGGCATGTTGCCACGAAGCGGTTTTGTAGATCAGTAAACATATTTAAATATGTTAAAGGTTTATTCTCAACAAAAAAAACTCCTTTAATCAATTTGGAGATGGAAGATGGAGATTTTAAACACTAGAGCATGCCAAGATGAGCTATAGATGGAGGATTGAAACATCCTCTTCCCCTTGAGGTAATAATTTCTCCTTTTTATAAAGCTTTGAGCTTTGATAGTGAAAATTTTAGTTTGGTTAGAATGTTTGAGTTAGTAGAATTATAACTCAATTAGTATGTTGTTAAGAGTTTTTAGATGCTTTGAATAAGTTTTGTATATGATTTTGTTGTGAAATCCATATATGGAAAGTTAGGGTTTGAAACCGTAACTAATTAGAGGGATTAATTAATGCAATAGAGTTTAGAGTGTAATGAATTATGTACTATGTGATGCATAATTCGTTAGGGTAAAATAGATTTAGAGGTAAAAGATGACCTTGCCTCTCGAAATATCATATTTATTGACACATCATTTTCGACGAGTTATTATTTGCGTTCTGATCCATGTCTCCGAATTAGGATCCATTTTGTGAGTTTCTAGACACTTCCGAGTCCATCTCTCTAATATCTCATGATTTACTTCACTAGGCCTCCTCACTACTCACTCCCCCTCTGTTAGGTCATAAATTATGGTTTATACTTTGCTTTTCATAAGCTATTAGATTTGTCGGTCTAGGACCGAAAACACCATGTTTTGGTGTTGTTTGGACCGAAATCACATGTGATTTCGGTTAGGCTTAATATTGTTTTGTTTGGGTTTTGGGTTGGGCCTTGGTTATTAGGTCTAGGTATAAATAGTGTCATTTGAGCCTTGTAAAGGGAGTGGGACGTTTTGGGGGCTGCCATATGCTAAGAACGTGTTTTGGAGTGAAATCAAGAGAGAAATCCAAGTGTAATCAAGAATCTTATGTACCCGACTATTCATCTATAATAGTGTGCATCGAAGATTAATCGTTATGTTCTTATTCGATATTTCGTCTTGTCTAATTCACTTGATTGAGATTCTGCACCATCAAGTGAATCCGATTGATACACCATAGCATTTTGGGTCTTACAATTGGTATTAGATCTTGGATCGGTATCAATCGAATTTTCAAGATTTTAAGAGTTTCTTGGAGTTTTTCTTGGAGTTTTTCTTGGATTTCCGAGTGTTTTTGAATTGTTTTGGAAGAATTTTTGGCTGTTTGTTCTTCGTGTTCTTCATATTTTTGGAGTTTTGATCGAATTTGGTCTTAAAATTAGAAAATTTTGTGTTTTTGGCAAGTTTTGAGTGATTTTTGGTCAAAAGCTGCGAAATCTCGGAAGCCACCCTCGTATTCAATCGTACCCACGGAAATCTAGGCGGCGGCTTCGCTCTCGGATTAGG